CCCTATTTCCATGGCTTGGAATCCTGATTTAGGTGTGATATATGAAAGCACATGACATACCAGAGGATATATGGAATGTTAATTTCACTGGTGATATTTCTCTGGTTACCTATCAATGATAAATCATGCATTTAAGCAAGGCAAAGTTTTATTAATATTACATAAGTTGTAATAAGTTGTAACACCTGTAAACTTTAACTTTATGGCAGTCCAAAATACCACTAAGTTGGACACCAAATCTACTCATAGCAATATTTAAAAATGATGGCTACAAAGACAGTTCTCTGTCTTATACACACAGTTTTGTGCACAAATGACACGTAACTCTATAGACTAATGTTATATATATTTGATTTCTGACTGAATAAAATATGTCTTGTAATAATTTCCTATGTTCAGCATTAGCACATTGCATTTGTAGCAGATACTATTTAGTAAAGATATGTCTCTAATCAAGTTTTTAATTCCTCTTCCACCCCTGCACCAGCTGCTGCAGCAGTAGAACTTGTGGTGGCAAACATCATGTTCACATTATGTTTAATCAGAATCAGAATACATTAATAACCCTAAGGAAATGATGTAAAACGAGGCTTGTAAGAATAGGCAGTATTCCTTAAGAAAAATGAAAAAAATAAAATAAGTGTCAGCAACAACTGAATCCCAAACAACAACAATAACAAGACAGTTTAAGCTGTGATTAGGATGGTCTGTGAGTGCTTGAGTAGTCGAGTATGAATGGCTATATTTACCTGGAATAGGCCTTTAGAGTCACTGCTGCTACTTGCATGCATGAGAGCAGGAGAGAAAAGAAAAATACATAATTGATACTGATGTTACTGTCTAATTAGTCATAATCATGAGTACAATTGATTTCAACTGTATCAGTTTGTAAGTTAAAAAATGAGTATTGACAGTATTGATACATTAGTTTTTTTTGACAGCGCAGAACAACCTTTTGAGGTGTTTAGAAATCTCCTTCATTTTTAGTCCATATATAATTGGATTGAAAAGGGGAGGATACATTACGATTTGCAAAGTCAATATGGAATGTACAATCTTTGGAAAATTAGACTCCAGACCAGATACAATGACATCAAATGCACAAAAACACAAATAGCTGATCAAAACTATCAAGTGGGGCAAACAGGTCTGTGCAGCTTTTCTCCTGACTTCTTTACAGCTTTGATAGGATATCACAAGTATCCTGGTGTAAGTGAAGAATATGAAAACCGCAGGGAGAATTGCAACATTAGATAGTACAACCATATCATATACAGTTTGTGCTGTTGAATGCACACACAGAAGCTTGTAAATTGTATTGTTGCAAAAAATTCCAGTGAAAGTAAAGTTACAGATTTTTTTATTGGCCATTAATACAGCTACCACTGCAACCTGAGAAGAGGGCACAATCCAAGCTAAGGTTAAAAAAATGCTGATAGTATTTTTTGTCATGATCATTGGATATTGCAGAGGTTTGCATATAGACACATATCTGTCATAGGCCATGGCAAACAAGAGTAAAAATTCTGAACCACCCAAAGAGTAAAACATAAAAAACTGAAAGAGACAGACGGAATAAGATATGATCTGTCTTTTAGATAAAAAGTCAGTCAAAAGCTTTGGGTAAATAACAGTGCTTAACATAACAGAGTTCAATAGCAAAGCTGCAATAAAAATGTACATAGGCTCATGGAGACTTTTCTCAACCACAATGAGGAATACAATAATGAAATTACAGCAGAGTATCAGAATGTATAAAGTAAACATGATCATAAAATAAA